TGGCCCGGGAGACTTGAATTCATTTAGAGTAGCCAGGTATTCCTGTACTACTTCTCTACCTATTTTGTGCTGCATTTCCCCCATGACATCACCTGCTCTTCGCCCCTCAGATTGAGAACTATTTTCCTTTTTGGAGAAAACTGAGGCAAAGAAGGTGTTGAGAAGTTCAGCCTTTTCCCTGTCCTCTCTTAGTAGTTGGCCATCTTCTCCACGCAGTAACCCTATCATTTCCTTGGTTTTCCCTTTGCTGCAGGTATAACTTTAAAAACCCTTTTATTGTTTTTAATCTGTCTGGTAAGCCTGAGATCATTCTGCACTTTTGCTTTTCTTACCTTTCCCCTACATATATTGGTTATTTGCTTGTATTCCTCTTTGGTGTTTTCCCCATTTTCCCATTTCTTGTACATGTTTTTTTAACTCTTAGCTCAGTTGAAAGTCTTTAGTCAACCATTCTGGTTTTTTTTAGACATCTCCCATTTTTCCTTCTTATTGGAACAGTTTTAGTTTGTGCCTTTAGAATCTCCCTTTTAAGAAATTCCCATCCATCCTGAACTCCCTTCTCTTTCAGTATCTTTGTCCATGGAATTACAGCCAGTAATTCCCTATGTTTACTGAAATTGGCCTTCTTAAAGTTTAGAATGCATGTCTCGCTGCACTTGGCTTCTCCTTCCCACTGTACAACAAATTCCAAGAGAGCGTGGTCACTCCCACCTAAGGATCCCACCACTTCAACCTCATTAACAAGGTCATGGCTCCAAAGAAAAAACAGAGCAAACCCCCCAAAAAGATTCTCTGCATTGAAACCAAAAAGGAAATCATCAAAAAGAATGAACAGGGTGCTGAATACCAGATGGCAAAGTCAACCATTGGTACCATACTGAAGAGGAAAGACGTCTTGACACACATTGATGTGGCAAAAGGAGTCACAATCATAAAAAAAGAACAGGCCACCCCTGATGGAAGAAGTGGAAAAACTTTTACTGGTCCAGATGCTCTCAACCTGGCTTCCTGGATTTAAGTCCTGGATCTCTTCACAATTATATACATCCTTGACACAGAAAGCTGCTACCCCTCCTTTCTTGCTAGGTCTATCTCTCTGAAATAGTTTATACTCCCCCCCCCAATAACTACATTCCAGTCATGAGTTTCATCCCACCAGGTTTCAGTGATACCTATTATAACATATTTATTTTGCTGTATTAAGAGTTCCAGTTCATCTTGTTTATTTCCAATGCTCTGTGCATTAGTGTAGAGACATTTAGGATCATGTGTGTTTTCCTTCCCCTTGTTGTTCTCTAGTATTACTTGCCCTGCTGGGCTTTTCTCGCCAGCACTTGCTGAATTTCTGCCCTGAAAACTATTGTCTACCTTTCCCCAGAACTTAGTTTAAAGCTCTCCTGATCAGATTTGTGAGCCTCTTAGCAAAAACATTACTGCCAACAGCTGTGAGGTGCACCCCATCCCCTGCCAAAAGACGATCTTTGTGAAAGGAAGTCTGATCCTCTCCTTAAAACTCCCATAAGCACCCCCGTTTGTCTTGCCTGTTTGCCAAGCACTGAGAGCACACAGTCAGAAACAAAGTTACTCACAGAAACCTAAAAAACACACACACCCAGTTGAGGATGGCCTCGCAGACACATCTCTCCTTCTGCTCCCTCTGCAGGGACTGAAGGGGTAGCTGTATTTTTAATTCGTGACCTTCCCTCATTTACACCTAAAAGGAGGCCGAGACTGTGAAAGTGCAAGTCCATGCAGGATGATAGACCTAGAAGGGGGCTTTCAGTCCATCCTGTTCAATCCTTTGCTTAATGTAGAAAATCTGAAGCTAGAACATCACCAGCGAGCAGTCCAGTCTCTGCATGAAGACCTCCCGTAGGAGACAGCCTACAAGTTCTCAAGGTAGGCTGTGACTAAAATCGTAATCCTTTGTCTGGCAAACAGTACAGGATTTACTGTGGACACAGAACAGATGAATTCAAACTTTTAAAAACTGATCACACAACACAGAGGCCAATGTGAAACCCTAGTTGCTGCCGAGGCAGCGGGTTTTTCCCCCCTGCCACTCAAAGCTTCTACTTTTTTCAAGCCAGAGTATGTTTTCCCCACGTGATGAGTTGTTTCGTTCTCCAAAAGGACTAGGGGTGTGACTTTGGGTAATATCCTGGTAATGTAGTAAGCTGGACTTGATGTTTTGGACAGTGGGAATACTCACCCCATGTTCTTTCTCGTTAGTCAACCTGAAGTAATTTTTAATTTTCAAAAACAAAATATTACGTTTAGCATTACGTCACCTTATCACTGCATTGATACATTAATTTTGCACTAGATTATCCCCAGAGTGGACAACAATAACTACATATGAAAATCAGTATAAAACAAAAATAA